AGGCAGCCCCGCACGGACGGGAATGTGACGGGACAGGAAACAAACAGGCGATCCATCTGGTCCATTCCCCTCCACACTCCACCGGCCCGAGGAATCCGAGGCCGATCCCACCGAAACCCCCAAACCAAAGCCGGCCGCCGCCGCGCCGGACCTCTCTCTCCCCGCCGCCGGCACCGGCAGCGGCGGCCGTCGACCGCGTACCCGGACCGCGCAGGGGAATCCGAGCGTGTGGCCCCACGTGGCAGGCAGGAGGACTGACGAATCGTACCTTTTCTTTCCGCGGTTGGACTAGGGAGGGAGTGGTGGGGCCCTGGGAAGCAGGCTTTCGGGCGACCATTGGATCGACCAACACACAGGGATTAAAAGCGCTCATAATTGTTTTATTTTTGCTCTACTAGTACCGCTTTTACTACCGTGACGAGCTTCTTTTCTCCGGTGTGATGCTTGTGCCCCCCGCCGGTTTGTTTAATTGCGTTTGGTCCTTTGGCGACCGGGCGGTGGTTGCAAAGCGTACGCTGAGAATGCTCCACACAATGATGGCCGTGCCCAGTGCCCAGCCTATATGTAATCCAAAATGTAGCCTTCAGACAGCCGTGCGTCCTCCTCGGATGAATCCTTCTCGGATGAATGATAAATTGTAGCAATAATTTGTTTAAAAATATTAAATTTTTGACATATATTATAATACTGGTGAAATGTTGTTTTTCCCAAGCTTTTTAGAACACATTTTTCGGCCAAGGTAACGAATGACATTTTCTTCACAAGAATCTGCACTCAGATGGAAATCACAAACATGGTTGTTGTGAAAAAAATAGTTTTTATTTTTAAACCTATTTATTTTGTTAAAAAGTATTGGGTGGCATGCCGAAATCGTAGGGTACCTCACTATTTAGCACGAATATTCCTATATTCTAATATAAAGATAATCAATTACCGAGTGGCCACACACTTGGAATACCGTGAGAACATTTGGGCTATGTAAGTTGCAATGAAGAGCAGGGAGGGGTAATGAACAGGAGAAGAAAAGGTGGATAACAAAAGAACTAGCCAGAGAGGTTAACAAGAGTCATACTGGTAATGTAGCTCCCCGGCGACTTTGTATGTACGCCTGACCGGAGTTGTGTCACCTTTGTCTTGATGCTAGTGACGTGAGATGTGTAAGAAGACGAAGATTGTGGAATAGTAGCGACAGATGACGACGAAGTCATAGGCGAGCGCAGGATGCTGAAGACAGAAGAAACAAATAGCGCGAAGAGCAGAAAACACACAAACAGACACTAGAATCCCCACGCATAGATTTTTTTTAAGTGAAAAGCACCGCGCATAGATGATGTGATGAAGATGAGTGACATGATAAAGAAGGTGAAGTGGTCCCATGTCGCTCTGCCGCTAAGTCCATGGAGCTAACCATCGCTCCGTACTCCTAATCCCGTGATATTCGCATGTTGGCACGCCAACAACCTGTCATTTATTTTTGAGACACAACATAGATAGTTTGTTGTACAGTTTAGGTATCCATTAACTACGACATTTGACTAAACGAGTGAGGAGTATTATTGGGCAATCGGACACTATAGGATCCAAAGTACTTGCACTAAACCGGCGCGACAAATTTTGTGTGTATGAAAGTAGGATTAACACAATGAGAACGCGAGACAAGCATAAGGTAAACAATCAATGAGAAGATAACATACCGACATAATAAAAATAAATAAAAAATACAGTGACACATTAACACATCGCACTGTTCCTAAGCCATAAGTGCATGCAAATACATTCAACATGTCCAACCACCATTGCTAGTACCAGCAGCACATGTACATGCCACCACAGTACTCCTTGTAGTACGTACTTCGTTGAAAGGAGTCCAAAACAACCGCGTTGGTACATTCGGCTGGCTGGCCGGCCCATGTAAAGCTCCGGACGGCGTGTACGTAGCGAGTCCACCCAGGAGATAAAATGGAAGGCATCACGAGGGGAGGGATAGATAAAAAGATGGCCCGTTTTGCAAGGTTCGGAAAGGAGGTTGGGTGGTACTACTACTGTCCTCGAGTATTTTTAACACTTGGTGTCTGTTACTTTCTCTCTCTCCCCCACCGGGAAGCAAAGCCAAGGGTGGACAGATTCTCCCCCAAGTCCCAATCCCTAAACAAAGCCCATCCATTACTCTAAACAAACCGGACCGAGGAGAGAGAAATACTACATAAAAACCAATCGTCCTCATGATAACTGTCCCATAGGAAATCCGATCCCCCGGAATAATTATACCATATCATAGCATAGCATAGCATAGCACAGCAGCACACTTGGAATCGGAATTGGAAAGAGAGAAAAACGTAGTAGTACCACGAGTCGTCCAGTTCCACACCGGAACCGTGAGAGGGACAGCAGCCGGTGGCGATGCGTTGGCAGGGGAGGGAGGGGGGGAATGGTATAATAATACGGGGAGATGTCTGGGTTGGTGATTGATGAGAGAGAAAGCCGGGGGAGAGGGACAGGGCGGGTGATGGGGAGGATCAGCATCAGGGGGGAGAGGGAGAGGGAGAGAGAATATCAGATGTCAACAAATCTGCCGTCCTTGCGGCTCGTTTAGAAAGAGGGTCCAAGGTGGTTCCATTCCCATCCCCCCCCAGAGGAGAGAGGAGAGAGAGAGGCCAGGCCAAACGACGCCAATCCAAAACCCCCAAAAGGAGCAAGGGAAGAGAGAGAGAGAGAGTGGGGAGTGAGGAGCAGAGAGAGAGCAAACCAAGATACTCCTACATCCGCAGACAAGTGGTTCGTTCGTTCGTTCGGGGACGAGGACGAGGACGAGAACGAGAACCCACCGCTTTCTCTCCCTCTTCCTCGCCCTCCCTGGCCCGGCCCCAGCAAATCCGGTTCCGGCCGAACCCGTCCCGGATTCGTCGGAGCTCCCAGCGTCCTCCTCCCCGATCGCCCCCCCTGCCGCCGCCAGAGAGATTTGCCTCTTTTTTCTAGGACATATAGATAGATAAATAAATATCCTGCCTTGGTTGGGTTGGGTTGGGCGGGTTCTTGGGCGGCGCGGGGTTTCTTGGGGCATGGCCGTGGCGGCGGTGCCGGACACGACGCTCGCCCGCCGAATGCTGCGGGTCGTCAGGCTCAACCCGCTGCAGCGCAGCGCCAAGAATCCCTGAGGTCAGAATTTCCTCTCTTTGTACTAGCTGGTCTGGTTCAATTAATTAATTCTGCTCGCGCGCTGTCTGGATCGTCGAATCGAGCTAGCACAATCGAAAGGAGCGGTGTTGATTTGCTTTCCCGACGTGTTGGAGCTCCAATCCGGGGGCACCTGGGGGGATTGGAGCTCCGATTTCGGACGAATTTCTCTCTGCCCGACGCCCCTGTCGCTGTCGCCGTCGCCGTCACTGTCTCTTCGTCCGCTCCTGGCCTCCGCCCGACGTCCAGATCCGGCCGCCCTCCACGCGACACATCGGCCTCGGCCACCGGCGCCGCCTCCTGCTCATTGCCGCCCTCCTCCTGTTGTCTAGATCCGGACGCCTGCCGTCCGTCGCCATCCGTTCTTCGCTTTCCTCTTTGTACTCCAGGTGTCTGGCTCGACTTTGGCGTCCAGATCCACTTCCCCTTCTATTCCCACCTCCGTGCCTGTAGCTACCATTGTCAGTTCGTCGTGCGATTGCCTCAGTTTCCCCGTGCGTGCTTGCTCAAGTATGCTTGCCCATCTCTGGCCTTTATTTACAGTTCTTATCATCCAAACTGGAGTTGGAAATGGGTTAATCTTCTATTTCCAAGACACTTCGTAATTCTCCCCTTTCTGAACAAACTGGAATTTTCCTTGGTGAAACCAAACATAAAACTTCGAAGTGGACGCAAATTCCAGTTCAACTGAAATTGGAATTGGGACTCTTTGTGTTATAACTTGTTTGTTGTAATTTATTTTGGGCCTTTTATTAGGTTCCGGGGTTCTTATTTTCTGTTTTGGTGATTAGGTCTGTGTGACGTTTCAGTTGGATTGAACGTGAGAAGTCAATGATTGCATCGGATGGCCATAGGTTTCTATTTTCCACGTTTGGTAAAGATGATGATATATCTCTTTAAAAGAACTAGTCCTTAGGATTTTATTAAGTTGGTTGAACTATCGCCGGTTGACTCGTCTTCTCTCCTTTAGTTATTTCCCGCCCGATGAATTTAGAAACAAACAGGTGAAGTGCATATTCTATGCCATTATGTGAATACAGTATATATTAAAAAATTAGGCCTTTGGTGTTGTTTACTCTGTTGCTGTCTAGGTTTGTTTGATTATCGTAGGGGTAGTGAGTTTTTGTCATGCATTTTATCCATGATACATGTAGCATCTTATTTCCCAGATCCTTTGTTATTACTCACTGCAGTATTTATTGGCAGGTTATTTCTCTTGAAGTGATATTCAGATTGGAAGGTAGTATTGATTCACCTGAGCAAGTCAAGCTGTCCAGTTAGCTCAAAGCATTAAAGATTGGAATTTCACACGCGCATTGCATTCACACTGTGATTTCCCTTTGGTGTCCTGTGATGTGATGATCAGTGCTGGTTGCCGTCCGGGTCAAGGGGAATTTTAGCATGATTGCTACATGCTCATTGTTTTGGTAATTTATCAATGGAACCCCTAAATCCTTAGTTGTTTTTGTTTTTGTAAATCTCTGTTTGATATTACTTACTCAGATGCTAGATTCTTAGCTCTTCTCAACTTGCTCCCATGCTCTTAAGTAAAATATCTTGCCGAGGATCTTAAAAGCACTATCAAAATTTGTCTGCACTGTGTTATTTGTTTGGGTGTTGCACTTGGAAAAACCATTCAACAAGCAGTATGCTGTACGCTACTTGCTTTCAAGCTTGAATTTGATGTAAAAAAATGTGTTTTCACATTATGATTGTCAACATGCAAATGAGGAAATAAAGTTGCAACATCTAGTTGACTTTGATGTTTCTCTTGTAAGCTCAACTTGATCTTTTTGTTTCTTGTTCAAGGCTTCAAGCAATGAATAATGCATGTTTGTTATTTGAAATATTTGGGGCTGCTATTCCAAAAGCTTTACCTTTCGCACCCCACTTTTGTATATAATTCAGCATCATTTGACTGGTCTGTTCAACAGACTGTAATACTAATGGGAGCTAAAGTGGAAGGTGAGAGTTACAATCCTGGATACTATGCTACAGGGGATCTGCACATGGACTCAAATGGTTGGCGCTCTCCATACTATGAGGATAAGACATCAAATGGGCAGTTGTACAATGGCTTCATGACGAAGCAGGCAGACGGTTATTCAGAATACGACAACGAAACGCTAAAGCGCACAATGCTTTCACATGAAGCTATGTTTAGACAGCAGGTTGGTACCTTGGCATTAACTACGTAAACATCTTAATGCATGACACGTTACGAAAAGTATAAACTGCAGGCACACAGCCGATATTTTCACTTCCCATTTTGTGTTTTTCTTTCTCTTATCTTGTTAACTGATCAACTGAAATCATTATCCAGGTTTATGAACTGCACCGGGTTTACAAAATACAGAGAGACCTGATGAAGCATTATGAAAACAAAGACGCATATGCATACCCAGAACTGGCAGATGCATCACAGACAAATTCGTCATCACAAGTTCCACCAAATGGCTCAAAGATGATATGGCAGATGCCTCTGGTGGCCAAAACATACGGAGAGGCTACTGTTGCAGTGCACACTGATACAAACCACTCCTTGAAGTTCCTTAGTGATGGCAGTGTCCTGCCCTCTCCAAATGGATTCCCCTCAAATGGTGTTGCTTTAAATACCAAGCAAGGCATTATTGACCTTGAGCTTCCAGCTGATCATTATATAGATGATGACAACACATCAGATAATAAGCCTATAGATTTCCTTGGTGTAGATTCGGGTACAAAACCTCCGAATGATGCCAGGGTCACATTCAGTGGTGCAGAAGGCCTGGGGAGGTTCAATGATAATAGCTCAACCTCTGGTTTGCTGACTACCAATAAACCGGGAGGCTGCCATGTCGCTGACCTGAATGAGCCAATTACTGGGATGCATATGGGTGGAACAAACGGGTCCGTATCCAGAGCTCTCCTGTATACCTTGGAGAACTCTTGGCACCAATCTGCAGTGAGATCAAGCACAGCTAACTTTGGTTTCAATAAAGAATACTCCAAAGAGAAGCATACTGACGAAGGAACAAGCTCAAATTTCCTTGATGCAAGTGCCAAACTAAGACAGGAGGAGAAATCATTGATTGATAAAGGTAAGGATAAGCTTCACTTAGAACACCTTTATTTGCTTCTTTCCTTGTCATGCTTATCTTTCTATGTTTACACAATAAATATCACTAGTACATGTATTTACTATATCGGTCGACCAAAAAGTCATTTTGCATTAAGAGGTAAGGGTTCACTATGGAATTTTGGGGGGATATATGGTTACAACCTACCATCTGTTATGTGACTTGGATTTCATGCCCTCCTAGTACCTATTAATACGTATTAGACATAGCATTTCAACTGCATGTGAAGGTTTTTTCTGTCGCAGTGCATGTAGAACTCGCTTCCCTTAGCTGTGCATGTTCCATATATGTTTCCGACCATTCTTTTTCTTTTTCTATTTATGCATGATGTGGCAGTGGACTACATTATTATTATTATCTTGAGTACTTTATTCTATGCTGTTTATAACCAATCTGTAGTTCTGTACAAATCTTGCATATTTGGTTACTGCTCTGTACTTGCAGTGTCCTTGATCCGCTATATTGCTTTAATTCTTTCAGGAAAACAAGTCAGCAACCAATCTTTTTTTACACCCAGATACAGCAATGTTGATCTGCAAAAATCCTTCAAAGTTGCTGATGGGAGATCTGCAACCAATGAGTTTATTTACCATGGTCAAAACAGTTCAGTTGGATGGTTTTCAAAAGGTCCTATGGGAGCATCTCCCATCAATAATTTTGCTAGACTTGACCATCCACATCATTCAAGTATTGGTACACCTGTTGCTCCAATCTCCATTCCTCACATAGACCATCCTTCCGTCGCCTCTCCTATAGGTTCTTGCACAGTGGACCCAAGGAGCAGTGTTATCAACAATGCTTTCCAGCGAGTTCCAAGTTTCAATGGATCTTCAACTGTTAATTCATACAAGAGTCCTAGTGCTGTGACCCAAAGCATTGGACCTTCAATTCATAAGCTGAAAAGATTTGATAATTTGGATGGTAGTTACTTTGGCTTTCCACCTGATCCATTTTCCGCATCACGATCCAGACAACAGGTTGCAATTTCGAGCGAGTTGGAGCAAAGGAACTGCCTGATGTTTGAACATTCAGCAGCACGGCAGTCTCATGGGTATCCTCAGTCCACAAACGGCAAGGGCACAAAGAACTTTAATTTGAATGAAGCACTGTCAGATGGTCTGGAAGAGCTTGTAGAACAGGATGGGAGATCTGTTGGTAGTTTGCAGCATAGTAAAGGTGAAGGATCAGTATTTGGGATCTCTTGGCTAAAAAATAAAGCTACTTGTGCTGACCCAACAGGGCTGGAAAAGCAAAGAAAGATGCTTGGCCATTCCAACGGGACTGCAGCAGACACGAAAATCAACAATAACTTGACGGGAATAACACCGATTGTTTGCAATTTGTCAGATTCTGCCTCAACGTCCCTAGGTTGCAGAATTAAGATAGATGATGCTTCTGAAGGCATCACTGATAGAACTTGGCTGGTATGTAATAAGACTGAGGAGAGTACCACGAGACATTTACCACTTTCAAGCCAGAAACCCTTGGATAGAGATGGACAAGCTGCTGAAGGTGTTGTCAACAAAAGTGGTGCGGCCGTCGTCAGAAATTTGTTTGATCTGAATGATGATGTACCACATGAAGACAACTCAGAGTCATCAGTAGTGTCACATGAATGTGATGTGGCGGCCTTACAGAACAACCATGCTAAGCGCACATTTTTGTTTGACTTAGAAGAAGTGCCAGCTTGTGAAGATGGTGCTGCCTGGACTTCTCAACAGGAATGCACACCTTCTGGCAAACTTGGTGCATCCAAGGAAGTTGATTTGTGTTTTCCATCCGCTACAGATGCAGCGCAGATTATTCTTGCGTTGTCAACGGATGTGCCGACCACCACAGGCACACCCGATGATATGTTGCAGTGGTTTGCGGAGCTCGCAATATCAAACATGGATGACCATGCCGAGCAAGCAAAAGTCCAGGGTTGCATCGATAATTCCAGTGATGATGGTTCAGACTCATTTGAAGCCTTGACACTGAAGCTGGAAGAGTGCAAGACCGATGAGCGCTGGACCAGGACACCAGAACCACCACTGACAGATGATGACCAAGCTGTTTCAGCGGTGAACCTGCTGTCCAAGCCAAAAAGAGGACCGCAAAGGAAGCGGCGGCAGAAGCGAGACTTCCAGAAGGACATCTTGCCCGGGCTTTCATCGCTTTCCCGGCCTAAGATCATAGAGGACATTCAGCTAATTGAGGGGTTAGTACAGGCATCTGGTGGATCATGGGAGTCGAGTTTAACCAGGCGAGCGCGTGGTGGGCGAACAAGAGGTAGAAAGCCCCGCAAAAACGAGCCAGCTACCGTAGAGATAGAAGCCGAGGCCGAGGCGAGCCCGCCCTCGAAACCCAACTCCATTGGCTTAGAAGCTGATGAAAGGGGCATGGTTAGCTGGGGGCGAACAACAAGGCGGTGTCGCAAGCCAAGATGCCCGTTGGGCAATAGCGTCGCCGCTTCGTCCTGAACGACCTCTGATACTGGTCGGTTTCGGATTCAGATTCTCCATCAGAGATTGCGGTGGACTGGTATAAAGGTAAAAAAAAATATCACAGCCATGAGTGTGCATACTCTGCTGGCCTGTTTGGCCGGCCTCCCCCCTGCAGAGATTTCAGGTCGAAACATGGTGTACATTTTTTTCTATAATAAATTCTTAAACTAGTCTATATATGACAATTTCTGTAACAGCGTTGTATTAAGCTGGGTCCAGGGCCTGAGCTGAGAGGCCTGCTGTAATTCTTGAGATAGTGGCGAGGTACCTTGACTGGCCGGTACTCGGAAATCAAAGAGGCTAATCGGTGTAGTTCTATATAGTTTTATCATGTTTTGTTTTGTGTTTCTGTATGTAAGTTTCTGTGTTTCTGTATGTAAGTTGCTGCTTCATTTGGCTGCAATTTTTGCTTCGCGGCCTGTAACTCAGCGCTGCCTAGTTGGAGTGGAGACTGGACACCACCACCACCGTTAATGACTTGATCCAGACAGAACTGGTAGTTCATGGCTTGTTTGGAATAGCTTTATTTTCATCAGTTTCGGTAGAACTGAACTACTAGCACCCTTTGAGAAAGGAGAGTGTGGTAAATGTAAACGAGCTACTGGCAAATATATATATCCAGCTCGAACATGACCTGTTGCATGCAACTGAACCTAAACAGCACCTACGCGGGCATTCAAATGTGTCTGCAAGAACATAGCACACGGGAGGAGACAAGCAGAGGCTGCACTTAGCAGGAGCTTCCTCGCCTTCTCTCTCTCTTTTTTTTAGCAAAAGAGACGATTTCCGGGGGCCTTCCTCTCCGATTTCATTAAAGAAACCACATGGTCTTTGTTACAGCTACCAAACGGACAAGCAATCGGTGCTCCGCTGCAGATTAGGCTTAGGGCATGTTCAATGGGAAGCGCTTACATAGACGTTTAGGAATAAAAATAATAATGAATTATCGTTTAAACGTTTCTCTAAGAGCCTGTACCTCCAACGCTAACTGTGGTGATTATAGGCGCTATGCGGTCAAAAAATGGAACAGCTAGCGTCTGCTTCCTCCAACGCAGAAATATCTCTAGTTAGTTGAGGCAAAAGCCTCCTAGGAGATTTTCTAGGGGAATTTTAGCGCCCGTTGTTAGTGCCTGACTCCAGCCCAATCGCTCGTGCGAAAAAAAAGCAGGTGAAGCGCCCGGCGAATACTTTGGAGTCGACGCAACAGAGTTTCCCGGGGTCGAACGGGAATCGGACGGGAATAGGGAGAAACTACCTGAAAATCAATCCTGGCGCCCGCGTTGGAGATGCCCTTAGTATTAGTATAGTGTTTCGGCATCTCCAACCCTGACCCTAAACCGGACACTATATCTGTTCATGGATCAGTAAGGACAGTTCAGATGTAGGAGCCGACCATCCAATTGATATCTCATGTGTTCGTTTATTTTAACTTTAAATAAATTACCTCAAATCTAAAAAGTGCTTACGCACTATTTGGTGAAAACGAGCGGCCGACTCTCACACAAACAAGCATGTAGTTTTATGGTCTAAATTTTGTCTTTACTCATGACGTGACAAGTACTAATAGGATGGGCACACGGAAAAGTCAGCGCATCAATTTCATGTCTGTTGGATGTGCATATGCATTTATTCGGGTTTACAAATTTTCAAAAAGTCATATCTTTCAAACCGTGCGTCGGAATTCAGATCCGTTTTCACCGTTGATATCCTCGCGACGAGATCTTCGAAACTAGATCCCGCATGATATGTTTTGATGAATTTTTTTGATGTCAATTTTGATGCTATATTGTGCAACTCTATTACTACATCGTGCAATTCTAGTACAACATGATGCAATTTTTTTCAAAACCATTTTGTAAAGCTACATGATCGAAATTTTTATGAGATTTGCAACCTAGCCACCATGACAATCATTTTTTAGTGATGTGCAACTAGTCTACTACTCGGCCAATTACTTAGTAGTCGATGTGCAACCCTCCCATTCCCTATTCATGGATGATATAGGTTTTCACTGCTGTCATACCATGCCTCACTTACCTTATCAGCTATATGTGCAACTTAATCTGTTGTTTCTAACTTTGCAGTAGTCAATGGGCAACTCCTTCCCCTCCATACTTGTCGATATTTAGTTTTAGTTGGCGGTGGCAATAGGCGAAGTTTCACATAATCTACTAGGCAGTTGGCTGGGGCAGTAGAGAAAGTTGCACATCTCACCGACATGGATTTGTTGGATGGTGAAAAACTGCACATCCATAAGACCATGAGGGTAGAGAAAAATTGTCTATAGGTGAGACCCTAAAGATGTACATCTCACTATTTGGGGTGGGTGGGAAGGGGTGCTAGTAATGAAAACTACACACCCGCGGGTACGGGGAAAAGTTGCACATCAACCATTAGGTAGTTGGCTGGGACAATTTTCGTAGTTGTATATTCACTGCTTGTTAGTTGATCGAGGTAGCAAACAATAAAAAACTGCATTCCAGCTATAGGGAAAAAGTTGCACATTGACTACTAAGAAGTTGACTGGGATAGCAGACGAAATTGCACATCTCAATTGATAGTGGGTAGTTTGGGGTGAGGTGCCATCAATGAAAACTGGACATCCATGGATAGAGAGAAAGTTACACATCGACTATTAGGTAGTTGCACATAACAACTGCACGGTTACGCAAAATGGAGACAAAATTGCACAAAAAAAAGTTTGTCGAAACATACTCATGTGGTATCTAGTTTCGAAGAGCACATCGTGATGATTTCAACGGTGAAAGCGGATCTTAATTTCAATGTTCGATTCAAAAGTTATGACTTTTCTAAAATTGCAAAATCTGAATTTAATACGTTCACACTTATTCGCATGTGGGCTTTTTCAGTTTTGGTTAAACACGTTGTATGGTCTTTGTCTTTTTCCTATTAAGAGGATAAAATATTTTCTAGTCTGTTTGATTAGGACAAATATATACTTAAAAAAGGAGGGTTGCCCTGGAGTGCTACCAAGCCAACGGCCCCTCGGTAGACACATCCAATAAATTATCTCTCTGTCCAAACTTGATCAGTAGCTTCTTATTTGGCGAAAGGCATGATATTAGCTTCCGCCAAATCTATGTACTCCCTCCGTTCCATAATACTTGTCGTGGATTTAGTTAGTCGCTAAATCCACAACAAGTATTATGGGATGGAGAGAGTAGCAATTTAGCCCAATAGGTAGCTACATAGCATGCTATTTGGGGGAACCACAGCTTGCTTCCGCCAAATCACGACGTGATTAGTAGTAGCTTTAGGCATGCTATTTGGTGGAATCAATCTAGCTAGCTTCTACTCCTTTGTAAAGAAATATAAGAGCCTTCTACTGCTTGCATCCACCAAATCTTATACTCCCTCCATTTACTTATACAAGACCATTATGGAATATACATTTTGTATCTATATAAGGCCACCAACAGTAATCGGGGCAAAAATTAATGATATTTTCTTATACTAGCAACTTGTTTAATATTTGCATGCATGCAGTCATAATGACACCCAGCTACTTTCTCCACTCAATTTTCTTGCATGCATGCGGTGTATTAATGATCTCAGTAAACGAAAAGAAAAACTGGGTTACAAAACATGTATTAAATTTTACCTTGGTACCTGTAATTTGAGTTTGTGGCCTTGTATATAAAAATGGAGGGAGTAGCTTTTAAATAACAAAGTGAAACAAAGTGATTAGCGGCTTCTGCCAACTTCAAACATGCTATCCACCAGACCTAAATAGCAACATGAGCGGCGTTCTGCCATCCGGACGGAGGGGAGAGGATATGACTTTTGGTTGTTGCATGGATGTCTGGACTCTTGCATAGCCCCCTTAGTTTGGTTCCGATTTGCGGGACTTCGGAACGGGTATCTGACCGTGTTGGATTACAAAACACGTCCAGGTTGCGCGGTCCGGACGGATAAGGGGGGTTTGGGGGTCAGCTTTGGAGATGCCCTTAGTGGAGTTTGACTTTATGCGAGAGTCTGGCGATATGCGATGGGGATCTGGTCATCGGCGTGCCCGAGCCGCATATGATGGTGAAGGAAATATGCCCTAGAGGCAATAATAAAGTTGTTATTTATATTTCCTTATATCATGATAAATGTTTATTATTCATGCTAGAATTGTATTAACTGGAAACTTAGTACATGTGTGAATACATAGACAAACATAGTGTCACTAGTATGACTCTACTTGACTAGCTCGTTAATCAAAGATGGCTAAGTTTCCTAGCCATAGACATGAGTTGTCATTTGATGAACGGGATCACATCATTAGAGAATGATGTGATTGACATGACCCATTCCATTAGCATTAGCACTTGATCGTTCAGTTTGTTGCTATTGTTTCTATTCATGACTTATACATGTTCCTATGACTATGAGGTTATGCAACTCCTGAATACCGGAGGAACACCTTGTGTGCTATCAAACGTCACAACGTAACTAGATGATCATAAATATGCTCTACAGGTGTCTCCGATGGTGTTTGTTGAGTTGTCATAGATCGAGATTAGGATTTGTCACTCCGATTGTCGGAGAGGTATCTCTGGGCTCTCTCGGTAATGCACATCACTATAAGCCTTGCAAGCAATGTGCCTAATGAGTTAGTTACGAGATGATGCATTACGGAATGAGTAAAGAGACTTGCCGATGACGATATTGAACTAGGTATTGAGATACCGACGATCGAATCTCAGGCAACTAACATACCGATGACAAAGGGAACAACGTATGTTGTTATGCGGTTTGACCGATAAAGATCTTCATAGAATATGTAGGAGCCAATATGAGCATCCAGGTTCCGCTATTGGTTATTGATCGGAGACGTGTCTCGGTCATGTCTACATAGTTCTCGAACCCGTAGGGTCCGCACGCTTAACGTTCAGTGATGATCGGTATTATGAGTTTATGTGTTTTGATGAACCGAAGGTAGTTTAGAGTCTCAGATGTGATCACGGACA